TTATAATATTTTAACAGGTTTTTTTTTTTATATATAAAAAATCTCCATGTGCAATTTTAGTGTTTCCTTAATTTGATTTTAAAATTTCCAGTGTTTAAAAAATTTAAACCTTCAAACTATTTAAAAGAAATTAAAATTTATAATTTAAAAAATCACTTTATGTATGATATTTTACTGTATCACTAACTGCACTGCTGTATAGGTATTTAATAGTATAATTTATTATTTTATTTACAATTTTTCTACAAAAAATTAATATTAATTCAGTTTAATCCAGTATATATTTAAATCATATTGAATTTTAAGTTTTCCAAATTTTCTATTCCTGAGATTTTATTTTTAAGATTTTTTTCATTTTTTATTATACTGTAATATTGTATATAATGTTAACTTTTTTTTACAGGTATAGAGAAATGGATGAAAACTCTCAAGTTGTCCAATGGTTATGGGATATTTTAAATGGTTTTTTAGATTCTGAAAAAGTGCTATTTTTACGATTTGTTTGTGGACGATCACGTCTTCCATCTAATTTATCAGATTTTTCTCAACATTTTCAGGTAAATATTTTAAATATATGTAATTTATTAGGTATTATGTAAGTTAAAAATTGATTCATGTGTTAATTACTTTTTTGTATTTTGTCCTTAAAATCTCAAGATATTACTACACTAATTTTAAAATTTTAATTTTGTATGATATAAATGTATATAAGTAAATAATTTTGATAGTTGACATAATAGTAAACACTTGATAAATATGCCATTAATTTGCATTATTCGTCAAATAAGAAAAACCAAGTATTAATTAAATAAATGGATTATTAATTTATTATATTGAGTAATTCATCAAGCATACAATGGGTATTCATCAAGCATATATTTTGACTCCATTTTTTTCCTTAATAATGCATTTTTTCAAATTCTGATCTAAAGAATTTAGAGAAACATATAAAAATATAAAGAATCAAGAAATCTATCAAAAATATAGTAAGACTCTAAAAGATATAAACAGAAAAAAAGTAATTGGAGATATTGGAAATTTAAAAATGAATCCTATATTGTGTTTCAAGCAATGCAAATTGATTAATGTAAGATACAAATCACGAAATTGTACTATTGCTGATGATGATGGGAATATAATTACTGGAACACAGTCTATAGCTAATGTTTTTAAAAAACACTTCGAAAAATTGTTGTACAATCTACAAGTTGTAAACTTTAGTTACATGTACAAACAAATAATATACAACACAGTGCAATTGAAGTTACTGGAGTCAAATCTTAGTAGAATCAAGTTGATTATTAATTCCCTGAAAAACAACGAAGCACTGGGGGAAGGAAATATCTACTTAGAATTTCTTAAGCTAGCTAGACCATGTTTAGTAATACAAATACAGAAATTTATTGGAAGTATATAGGTTAATGTACAGATTACGAAAGATTGGAATATAGTGATCATGTGTTCATTTTTAAAAAGGGTAAGATAACTTTAGTAAAAATATTGCAGAGGTGATTGATTGTTAGATGCAAACTATTAAGTGTTATCTTTTGTAGTTGTTAGGGGATTAGAAGTGATGATTTTCTGTCTTCATCTAAAACATTTGGAATTTTGTAATTTAATTGTGTTTTCATTTTAATGTCCCGATTGATGGACGTGTGACCAAGGATAAAGTCTTGCCAGTGATGATAAAATAGGGTGAAGAAAGATATTTCAGACATTAACGAGTTAAAATAAGTGGATGCTACAATAAACTAGAATGGATAGAAAAGTTTGATAGAAGCATGAAAAATATATATAGCATTTATATGAAAAAAAAAACTTAAGTAGTGTCTCGTGGTAATACAAATTTTTATTTTTTAAATGAAAATCTCCCTTTTTTACTGTAAATTATTTAGTGAATATATTATTTTTTTAAATTTGAATGATTAGTTTCTCAATTATTATAAAAATTTATATTCAAAAAAAAAATAAATAATTATACAAAAATATGCTACAGATGTAATTTTGGATCTAGTATTTATTATACTTGGACCATATTTTTTAGTTATAAATGTTGTTAGTCATTTGATTATTATTAATTATTAAAATTTTCGAATTACCATGGCTCTATATTATTAAAACCCTATTATGGACCTAAACATTACCTAAAATTAAATCATTATAATAATGTATACATAATAATATAATATACATAGCTTAAGTTTGAGGCAAGTGTGAATTAATAAAGAAATAAAAATGTAACAATCTAGGCTGCTTAAAAAATGATTAAGTGTGATTATAAATTGATTTGCCAAAACATTTTTAGTATTTACCTAGATATAATTTTCAACCAAAGTATTGAAACATAAAAAGTTTTGTATTTGTATAAGATGTACATAACATTACTTTTTAACTAGAGCAATAAACGGTGATTACATTATGAAAACTGCTATGAATTCTATGATGTATATATATATAAATATATAAATTATATGTTTAATTTAAGTTTATAATTTAATGTTTACTTTGTGTACAAAAGTGGCATGACAAATTTTTTAATTATTAATATTATTGGAAGTAATAATTAGTTTATGAATATCATCTTACTCTACCAACAAAATGTTTTCATAAATAATGATAATTGTTTCAAATACGTATAATTTTCAGATCATCAAAGTTGAAGATAAAATAGATGGATTACCCACAGCTCAGACATGCTTCTTTCAACTACGATTAACTGACTACAGTAGTCGTGCAGTATTTGAAGAAAAGCTCAAGTATGCTATTAATAACTGCCGGACAATAGATATGGATAATTATATGTTATTTAGAAACACAGATGTTGACTCTGACGATGACTTAGAAATGATAATTGAGAGTTAAAACCGCGTTTAACCTTTTAAATATTATTTAATTTAATAGAAATCTAATCTTTATAAATATGTAAGTTTTCTTTTGCGTATTTATTTTTTGTGTATGAAATAAAATTGTGTATGGGGTTTTCAACACATAAAATATTTATGTATATAAAAAATATTGATAGATGTAAATTAGTGCAATATGTTTATGTAACTTTCTACAATAAAATAAATAATAATGTTGTTATATAAAATAATAACCATATGAAGTAGTTATATAGAGTTATTATTTTATTAATATATTGACTATAATATAATTATGATTTAATCTGAATCAAAAATAAAAAAAAATGATGTTTTCTATGTGTATGCATTTGGTTACCTATTTAAATTACAGTGTTACGTTCTTAGCCTGCACAAATTTTACGCAAATTGTTATAAAAATAAATTAATTAGTATAACAAACATAATGTTACATAGTGGTATCTTTGTTATGAAGTATGGTTGGTATGGATTATAATTTGTTTTCATTAAAATAATTATTTATACTTCGTTGGAGTAGTGGTTTAAAATAAATTACAAATTAAAAGTATAAACGTATTATTAATAATTTGTTTTTCTATAAGGAAAACAGTCTTTATTTCAACACAGTAAGTAAGTAGTACAAATAGTGTAATATACGAGTTTAGACTGTTTAGAGAACCACGTGACGAAGAGGTAAATATTATATTCATTGATAGAACCCTATTATTTTTATTTTGTTATGTTTATATTATAGTAAGTCTACACCAATACAGTTTCAAAAAACGGCACAATTAATTTCCAGTGAGAAAACTATGTACGACAGTGAGGAAATTAAATGATTAATAATTTTGAGTAAAATCTGAAGTAGTGATTGGGTAGTTAAATGCAAATTAGTTCTTTACAAGTAGCGATATGTCGTATTGTTTCGATTTTTAAATTATTGTGAAGCGAGTCGTTCGATAGTATTGGGGTGCAGAAGTGACAAGACGCGCCGAGAGCTATTGATTGGAACAACTGTCACGCCTACGTATTTATGTATAAGGGTATGGCACAACCCTAAACCTTAATAGTACCTATATATTTACACGGTTCTCACGGAGTTGACTCGGGCATTAAACAATGTATTTTTAGTTTTGGAGATATTTTTGATTTGAGATTGGTTGAAGGAGATGCAATCGACAATTTAGTTTTTTCTCATCACTTTTAAACGTGGATCTTGAGTTGGGTTAGTCTCTTATATAGGAAAATAATACCATAAAATAGATAGGATAATACCTTGATATTTTGTATTTATCTTAAACGATTTTGGAACAGATCGGTGATTTGCGATTTGTAATTTTCGAGAGTGAGGATGATTAATGCGTGTCATATAGATATATGATGTGGCTTTAATAATTGTAGGTATTGATGTATTTGACACGTCGCAATATGTTGGCTGTCAAAAGTCATATAGGTCTAGTGAGACGTCACTATACCTACCACATCGTGTGACTCTTGCTTGTATATCAAAATGAGAAGTAAAATAATTCGTCTGTCGAACTACACAAGTGCGATTTTCGAGATAAAAATATAATGATTAATTGCAATGAGGTAGGCAGAAATTGTCAGGGTTTTTAAGGTAAGAGTTTAGGAAAAAGTTACTTAGTCACAAACGGTCAAAGGCTTGTGATGCATCTAAAAATACTCCAAGACAGTACTTATGTTTCTTTTCATACGAAAATCGGTTAGTCTATATTTTTGATGCACAGTTGAAGAATTGGACGTTGAGTGTCTAGGCTCAAGTAGAAATTGAGATATGACTGCGACGCCAAGTAGGTACTTCTCAGTTCTCACGAATAACAGAAATGTCTCATAAAAACTCTTAGAGCTTCAGATTTCATTGTTAACAGATTTAAAATTTTTATAATTAATAATTAAATCAATTATAATTTATATACAAATGCCAAATATGCAATATATCTATTGTGAATTGTGATGTAGAATTCTTTGGCTTACTACTTACTAGGATCTTGTTAAACAGCGCTGCCAAATAACAAATAAATATAATGTTAATATTTATTTGTCATCTGGGAAACCTGTTTACATTCTGATTACGGTATATAAGTTATCTACTAATACCGTGATTCTGATTAAGGTAAATAGATTGATTAAAATATAGTCACATACATTACTTTAAAAAGTCAAAATTTAAATAAACGTACTAAAGATTTCGGAATTAGGATTGTCAAACCTATATTAGCACCAGTTTTTGCATCAACATTTTTTTCAATTGAACAGTTTAGCGACAAAAATTCTGAGTAAGGACTTTGTAATGAATATAAATTGTTTAATATGCTAAGCTATTGAATTTATGTTATAATTTGGTTATAGAGGAATTTTAGAACTAACAATGTTCTTTAACACGTTGTCCCGATTTCTTCCTGCTAGGAGTAATTACTTATTCCTTTCTCGATGCAAGCATGTACAAGCAGCTCGTTATAAACGATCTATTAAGGGCAATAAACCACTTACTTATGAGATGGCTGGACCACCACACACTATTGCTCACATCAAGGGCTGGAATTCATGGAATACGTGTAAGACAAAAAATAAAAAATGAATACTTAGATTTAAAAGTGTTTATCAATGCTGTTTAATGTTTGTGTAAAATTTAAATTAAATTTTTTTTCTATAGGCAATATGTTGGATGGCTTGAGACCAGCTGAGACTGCAATAGATGACGAGTTCATTCGTCGTTTCATAACTGGTACTTGGCATGATTTAATTGCTAGTGAAATAATCATAAAAAGACAACACAACATAATAAGAATAGCTGCTATAACAGTACAGAAAATTAGTGTAACTAAAATATATTTCTTAATTGGTTACACGGAAGAACTTTTAAGCTATTGGCTACAATGTCCCATTAAGTTAGAATTACAGACTGTTGAAGACCGAACTGCAGTAGTGTTCAAGTACATTTAGTCATTTGGAAATAAATTATTGTTGTGTTTATTAGAATTTTTAAAACAATATCAATAGGTTTTATGTAATAATATTAAATATATAAATACTTGTCTATTTTTTTTTATAAAAGTAAATTATTACATTAAAAGTTGGTATCATAATAAGTTTTTATTAATTTTATTACCTTTGATTATTTAGTATAGATTTGTATGATAAAACACAATTATTGTTGTAAAATGTTTGTCCTAATTTTTGTTTTTAAATATATTTAGCAAAATGCTAACTTTAGGTGTTTAGTTGTGACTTTATGAGTTACTAATTTAGCGTTAAAGTTTTCATGTTTTTAAGAAGTTTCTTATCTTTAAAGAAGTAATAGAAAATAAATAGGTGTGATAAAGTGATGAGTAAGGCAGAGAAGTTATAAAAAGTAAAATTGAAAATATGCATTCAAATTCATGAAATATGCAAATTAATATGAAAAAAAAAAATTAGATATAAAAGATAAATCATTGCATTGCACAACTAATGTTTTTTAAAAATATTTTCTATATTGAATGATCGGCAGTTGTCAACAGCCAGTATGATTTTCTTCAGTCTTGAATCTTGGATTTATGCTTAAACTAAATATTAAATACATTAAGCCAAAAATGGTTTTAAAATAACTTTTTCTCACCTGATAAATTATTGCATTGCACAATTAACATTTTCTTTTGATGTTTTCTTTGTCGAATGATCGCCGATTGTCAGCCAGTATGGTTTTGTACTGACAAAAACTTTCAACGTCTGTAGATATTATCGGTGCTTATTTATAAAATGTTAAATCATTTCCCGTTAGATCTTCTGATAAACCGTCCATCGATAAACTTTCTCCATTCAACTTTTTTAAAATTTTTAACATTATCGAAAAACCTTTATTTTTTTTCCAAAACTTGGTTAAATTTGGTATTTACTTTTATTCCAACGTTACCCACGACTTCGTCCAATTTATTTTTTGTGAATATAATTGTTGTTAGTGAATCATTTAATGATATTCCTTATGATTATAATTTAGTTATTGTTGATGGTAAAAACCCATAATTTGAATGAATAAAAGTCAAATTTGGTTCCATTGAACTTTCATTTAGAAGGGCTTGAGATTCTTTTATAAATACAGCATCGTTAGAATTAAAATGTTGCATAACATATTGTACTTGCTTAAAATATTGGTAGTAATAAAAGGTAGCTTTGATCCAAGTATTCCAACGTTTGAGTATAGGTTCGGGAAAAAGAGGGACTCCGAGGGCTTCTGTTTTAAAAAATAAACCACATGAAGGTACTTTTAAAAACATTTGCTTTACTTTTGCTGTTAATTTATCAACTGTAGGAAAAAGACAAAATATTTTCTGCCAATCTATGTAATCCGTGTACTATATAAGTAATATAGATCATTTTGGAGTACAGACCTTTGATAATTGTACTCATTTCATATTATATGGTGCAGCATCGCTTAAAAATAGGAATACATCATCATGACGAACACCATCGAGCCACAGGAGAAACATTGAGCTGTTAAAGAGTTTGGTTATTGTAGAAAAGTTGGCTTTTTTTAGAACTTCGGCGTTTAGTAAATATATTTTTTTCGGGCCTATCCTTCAGCAGAGTTCCGATTATTACGTTTACTAAATATCTTTTTTGTACATCTATTGTTTCGTCTATAGAAACTCATATTTTACAATGTCTTTTCTAATTAGATCAATAGTTTCTAAAGAGCAATCATTTGTATAAGTTTTCTTAAACGCAGACACACTAGGAATGTCATTAAGAGTATATTTTTCAAGAAACAATCGAAATTGAATACCTATTAGAAATTTTATGTAAAGGAATATTTGCATAAATCATGAGAAAAAACAAATTTTTTGTTTGATGGCTGTGATATAAATTGTTGTTTATTTTCTGTAGGTTTATTTCGACGAGTTAAAAATCGTCCATGTTTATTTGTTTTTATACCTATGTTGAGTTACTGTAAATTTTTTTTCAACACTTACTTTAACTTCACAAATCTTACAATAGAGTATAGTACCATCGGTAACCAATGAATCTTCACTATATTGTTTCACATACTTATAAAATATACTTCAATTATTTTTGGCATTATGTGAACTGTTAAGTGAAAAATATAAATACGGAAAACACAGCAAAAGGCACGAAATTACGTATCAAACGACACTTAACACCATACTAACAAGATTATTGATGAAATACATAATAATGTTGATAAAAAATTTAATATAGATACTTAATTCCCAATTGCTACGATGTAACGATGTAATAATAATAAAGATAACATTATCCGAATGTCCATCTAAAATATGTGGGTATCTATGATGGTACGAAAGTACATAGTACACGGATACCGAGTTACCATGCAGTTTTTAGTTAGGTAATTAAAAATTAGATAATTTTTACTTCAAAAATGTGTGAATATGTAGAAAATGCATAAAATATGAACAAAATAATGAAATATGTATTTTTTTTTTAAATGCTCAAAATATGTAAAAATATGTAAAAATTTTTTTATTATTTCAAGTATTTCAACTATGGATCTCATGCGACTTGCTATAAAATAGAGGCTCAGAATAAAACATGCAAATCCTATAACTTCTGTGCCCTAGTGATGAGTATGTATTGGATGTTTATTAATAACTTGTTGTGATTCAATCGTTTCTTAAAAATCGGTTGAAAAGTACAAATTATTTTCATATTTGATAGGACATTAAAATAATAGTATTAGTGGTATCGTTTGAAAGAAGGCTTAAACTTTGTTTAGAGTAAAACCGAGTCATATTATACAAATTGCTATCATGTTTGTCGTTCTATATCATTAATAAGAAAATATATAATAAGTTACTTATTACCTTATAAGTCTCGACGCCAGAACACTCCCGCCGCGGCCGGCCATCGTCGCCGCGCCCGGCGGTCGCCGGGGCGAAGCCCCGGGACGACGGACTTCGCGTCTCGTCCCGGCTTCCCCGATCTCGGCGGGGCCGTTACCAGAACGGGCGAGGGCGATTCCGCCCGGCGGTTGTCGTCGCGCGGTTGGCGGCCTGACCGCCGCCGCCGCCGTCGCTTCCGCCGGTGCCGCAATCGACGGCGCCCTCGTCAACGCGAGCCACGCCGCGACGGGTGCGCAACGCGGGACGGCTCGCGGCCACCGGCCGCGGGCCCGCGCGTCGACCGCACCCGTCGGGTACACTCGTACCACACGAACCGCGGTCGGTCGCGCGCCGAGACCCGAGCGGTCGCGGTCGCGCGACCGCCCACGGCGTCGGCCGGCCCCACGCGGGCGGACCGGCGCTCGGACGCACGCGTCACGGGACGGGGCGCTGCCGGGTCGTGTCGTGTTTAGCACGCGCACGCGCCACGGCGCCCGTCGCGGGGCGCGGTTGTTGTAATACCGAGATCCTGGTTGATCTGCCAGTAGTCATATGCTTGTCTCAAAGATTAAGCCATGCAGCATGTCTCAGTGCAAGCCGCATTAAGGTGAAACCGCGAAAGGCTCATTAAATCAGTTGTGGTTCCTTAGATCGTACCCAAGTTACTTGGATAACTGTGGTAATTCTAGAGCTAATACATGCCGACAGAGTTCCGACCGCCGCGGTGCCCCCGGGTTCCGTGTGCGGGAGAACGCTTTATTAGATCAAAACCGGCCCGTCGCGGCGCGCCTCGCGCGCGTCCCGATCGCGGCCCGCGCAAAGACCTGGTGACTCTGAATAACTTCGAGCTGATCGCACGGTCCTCGTACCGGCGACGCATCTTTCAAATGTCTGCCTTATCAACTGTCGACGGTAGGTTCCATGCCTACCGTGGTGTACGGGTAACAGCGGGGAATCAGGGTTCGATTCGGAGGAGCCTGAGAAAACGGCTACCACATCCAAGGAAGGCAGCAGGCGCGCAAATTACCCACTCCCGGAACGGGGAGGTAGTGACGAAAAATAACGATACGGGACTCATCCGGGGCCCCGTAATCGGAATGAGAACACTTTAAAACCTTTAAACGAGGATCATTGGAGGCAAGTCTGGTGCCAGCAGCCGCGGTAATTCAGCTCCAATAGCGTATATTAAAGTTGTTGCGGTTAAAAAGCTCGTAGTCGGATCTGTGTCTGGGCGGTGCCGGACCACCCTGGCGGTCCGGCGTGTCGCGGCCGGTCGTGTCGCGGGACCGTGTCGTCGGCGCGGCCGTCGCGCTCGTCAGCCGTCTCGGGGTGTTAGTGAAACGTCCGGCCGGACGTATCGTGAGCGGACACGTGTCTCGTGCTTCCGGCGCGCCGCGCGGCCACGCGTCGCGCGGCCGTCGGGGTTCGACGACGGCGGCCGCCTACTCCAATCTTGCTGCGCGGTGCTCTTCACCGAGTGCCGTCGGCGGGCCGACACGTTTACTTTGAACAAATTAGAGTGCTCAAAGCAGGCTCAAATCTGGCGGGGCGGCTTCACGGCCGTCTCGTCAAAAGGCCCTGAATACTGGTCGCATGGAATAATGGAACAAGACCTCGGTCCCGCGCATCTCCGCCCTTAGCGGGCGCGCGAAACCGCCCTCCGGGGCGTTTCCGTGCGCGGGTCGCCGGGCCGCGGGCGCCAGTCGCCCGCGCGTCCCGCCGGGCCGGTTTCGGACCGGTAATGATCAACAGAAGACGGGCGGCATTCGTACCGAGACGTTAGAGGTGAAATTCTTGGATCGTCTCGAGACGAACGACGCGCGGCATTGCCAAGTACGTTCTCGTATGATCAGAACGAAGTGCGCAGAGGTTCAGGCGATCCAGATGCCGCCTAGTTCTAACTGTAAACGATGCTGTAGCGATCCGCCGGCGTTTCGTGGCAGCCGGCGGGCGCTTCGAAATGACTTTTCGGTTCGGGAAATATGATTGCAAAGTTGAAACTTAAAGAATTGACGGAAGGCACCGCAAGTGGAGCCTGCGGCAATTTGACTCAACACGGGAAACCTCACCAGGCGGACACCGGAAGATTGACAGGTGAGCTCTTTCCTTGATTCGGTGGGTGGTGGTGCATGGCCGTTCTTAGTTGGTGGAGCGATCTGTCTGGTTAATTCCGATAACGAACGAGACTC